ATAGCTTTTTTCCTTCTAATATAGTCTTTTATACTTGGTTCTCCCCCTCCCCCCATTAACAAATTATAGAAGTATATATATATATATATATATATATATATATATATATATATACTGTGTTGCTAAGCACATCTACGTGAAGCTGAAGATAAGTTAGAAATGGAGTTGTGATTTTGTGTGATAGTAGAAATTTTCCTAACTACAGTTTGTTGAAGACAGCATAGTAAGTTTAAGGTTTATGATTTTTATCTTGGAGTTTTCTTTCTAGACCAACAGAGTTCAGTAAATGTTGCCGAATTGAATCTTATCCTCGTTGAGCAAACTGCATAGTATATATTCAGTATTTTCCTTCTGGAGCATGTTTTTATCATGCTAAAATTAAAAAGGGAAAACTTAGAAAATCTGTAGTTGAACAGGTTTATTAAATTGTTCTAAAACTACCCATTTTTTGAGAGTGAAGTCAACTGAAGCTGAGGTGCTTTGTTTTTCTACCGGGCAATAATCAGAACACATTAGAGGCTAGTTATATTTTCCATATTAAAATTGAATTTAGTTTTCCTGGTTGGTTGAAGTGTAGATAAAGAATACATTTATAATCTACTTTGATTATACTATTAGTCCTCAATTTGGTAATCATTAATTCCTGTCACCTGTAAATTTTGTGCAGCCATTGGAATTGGGAAGATTGAACTATTCTGAACATAATAAGGCGTTTGAAATACACCAAGATAAAGTAGATGCAAGTGTGTTTGTGTTGAATACTTTGCCAGGTGCACTAGACCCAGAAAACCACATTCTGTCCCAGTTAATTTGTTTCCTGGCATGAAGCTATGTGATGGAATGTTAATGTCAGCAACCTCTTTATTTACGCACCAAAGAAAAAGGAGTAGTAATTAACACTTTGACACTCCCCCATTGATGTGTAATTGACTGTTTCAAAGGAGCACTGGTTCATAAGCTATTGCATGCATTAAAATTACATTTTCTATATTGCAGCATTTTAAGACAGGGGTCAGTGACAATGCAGAAATTGCTCAATGATGCACATTTTTTTATTACTGCATTAAGGTTTTGACATATTAGTAATGAATAAATGTTTCCATAAAATTAGATTTTTTTATAACTTTAAAATTGAAATATGACACAGAACACTGTGACTTCCTCTTTGAAGGTAATATTCTACTTTCATGAAACAAAGCACAGCTTCCTACAAGTCTAAACTCAGACTTCACTAGCTTAATAGTTTGATTTTGAGAACAAGAGTCCTAAAGGCTTTAAGTTTGGTTCTGTTTTACTTTAAACATCAGTTTGAAATGTTCTTAAATGCAGGTTTCTATGTGTTAGATCATGGTTTTACATAATTCATTCTAGAAACAATCTTCATTCCTCTAAGTTTTTTGATTTACGGTAAGCTTGTCACTGCACAGGGCGTAGCAGTAAAACAAATCTAATTTCAAGAGTATTTTAAATTATATATTAAAAATTTTAGGAGTTTCTATCATTTTATCATATTAAAAGAGGACTAAATATGTCCATTGAACTGGTAATGTTAAGGAATTTTCTTATGTTGCCAAATATTGAGAAAAATCTTTAGTATTCTCTGTGATAGAAAAAACATAATAGAATTTCTGTGCAAACCAGAAACCAGATTCCCTATTTTGCCTTTTGTTTCTCTCAATCTGTGCAAATTAGCAACCATTTATTGGAAATTTGTTTGTGAAAGATGTTTCTGGGAAAACATCTTACTAAATGTTTATTTTTGGTTTTTGGATGTATTAAACATTTATTACAGCTAAAAGTGGTTACAAATGTCTAGGTTCCACAGGTGGCATCAGTTTATCTCAGAACACTTATTAACGCTGACAACTTGGGCCAACAGTAGCACTATCTTGTGTCAACTGAATTGCCCTAACATGTCCACATGTAATCTGGTGTTATCCAGTTGCTTACGTTCTTGCTTCGGAAAGTTCATCAGCGTCGAATTTGCATTTGTTAATTAGGGTTAATGTGCACTAATTGATTTTTTGATGCTTGTAGATTTCCATTAAACCTGGTTAGCAGTACTTATTGGGTACCTCATTCATTTGAGTTATGGTGATCATGTTTTTGTTGAATCTGTGCCAAATAGAAAGCCTGCATCATAATTACAGCTAATTAACAATTATGTCCTATATTAATGGGCTTCCCTAGTCTTCTGCTAATATTCTGAATGTTATAAATTTCAAATGTGTTTAGAACTTTTTTTAACAGTACAAACTTGAGGCTCTTAATTACTAGAGGGTAGGAGATTGGTCATTTGCTGAGTTTACAGAAGTTGCAAGTTTAGAGAAAAGGAACATGTTAAGTATTTCTAAATTAACTTTAGAAACTTGATTTTGTAATTAAGAAATAGCATCAAATCAAGTATGTTTGTGTGTTATAATTCAGCTTCTATTTAGGAATAGGTAATTTGGATATTCAGGATTTGTAGGTATTCGTATTTCTAGTTAGTTATTTTATAAATGAATTTCTTTTCTAGGCCCAGTACTGCCACCTTGTTATGAAAAAGTAAATCACTTAATCTCTTTACTCAGTTTTATTGTTTTTTTTAAAGTGAAAGGATTGGGACTAGGTAATTCATTGTTCCTTTAAGGTTTAACAATTGTTTGTTGATCTGAATAATTGTAGCAGAATGTTTTATTAGAAATTATAAGGCAAAATTTGATTATTTGTACAGTTTTTCTACTTTTGCCTTAAAAAGAACAGGTATCACTGTTAATTTTATCTAGTACTAACCATGTTAAACCTATAAATGTTAAATACACTTTTGCAGTTTTGATTTTTAAGTATTAAGTCCAGAGTGGCCTAAAGGGAAATGGAATATTTTCATAAGTGAATGTATATTAAAATATTTTAAAACTCCATGTTTGCCAGTAACACAGACACAGAACAAATAGTAAGTAGATAAGGAATCTTGTGTTTAAATGGAGAGCTATTAGTAAAAGTAAGTTTAATTCAATTAAATAAGAATGTTCTTACGAAATGTACTTTGTATACTTTATCTCCTAAAATATATAAATAAACATTTAAAATGTAAAATGTATAAAACTTAGGGCCTAAAAATACCATTTTATAGCTTATTCTTAACTTTGAATCTATCACCTGTGGCACTGAAGCAATAAAGAAATGTAGTTATAGAAAAATAATTTTAAATGCTTCATAATTTAATTACGGGGTTAGTTTATGGTTTGTAAATATAAGAAGCTTTGTGAAAATTACTCTGTATAAGTACCCACACACAGTGACTTCTACGATTTTACACAAGAGTTGTAATCATGCAGGACTGTAATTAGTATGGATACTCATCTGGCTTCGCTACTGTGTTACTCAGGCCTACTACATGAACAGAATATGGCAAAAATGAGACTACTTACTTTTATGGGAATGGCAGTGGAAAATAAAGAAATTTCTTTTGACACAATGCAACAAGAACTTCAGATTGGAGCTGATGATGTTGAAGCGTTTGTTATTGATGGTAAGGCAGTTGGAACATTTTCGTTTTTTCCTAGAATTTCTCTTCCTACCCCATGAAACATAAGATTTTTAATCTTGAAACTGAGCTTAGTAGATTAGGTTATATTTGTAGCATAGTGAAAGTTCAGTGGAATATAAAGAGCTATGTGGTTTTTGGTGTGTGTCTATTCCTTGAAGTCATGTAGAACAAAGGCCTCTGGGCAGTATATCATAGTGGTTAAGAGCCTAGATTTTAGTATTAGACCTGTGTTTGAGACTAGGTCTTCTGGTTGTGGGGGTTAAATGAATTAATGCAGGTAAAGCACTCAGCTCAGTGCCTGGCACATAGTAAATGATCTGCAAATATTAACCATTACCAATTTTTTATGATTGGCCTAGAAATAGCACCTTCCTCCTCAATAATTACATTATGAAGTGGTTTAACTGTCAATTAGGACTCTTAAGATTAATAACATGTATTATAATATCTTAAGAAACTAGCCCCGTTCCCTCCCCCCCCCCCCCCCCCCCCGCCCCCATGTGATTTCAGAGAACGCCAGAATTCTTAATGAAAACCCTATGTGATATTTAATATAGATAGGCGCAGCAACCAGAGGACAAATTCATGGCCTTCCTTTTGGTTGCATTACATCGCTGGGCTTGTTACTAAATTCAAAGAGCCAGTTTGTAAAATAATGTTGGAAAACTGTAAAGTTTTATTATGGCTTACTTGGTCACAGTTTTCATACCTTAGGCTGTTTTCCTTGGGAATATTCCATATAACATGTCATGTAAAACATCTTTTTTTCAGCGGTAAGAACTAAAATGGTCTACTGCAAAATTGATCAAACGCAGAGAAAAGTAGTTGTCAGGTAAGACACTTAATACTTAGCAGCATTTTGTAGAACAATTTATTGTTTCACTTAAATGTTTAGAGAACCAAGGTGGTGTTAGCAGTTGACTGTAGTTAAATAGTTGCTATTTATCATAATTTTATTAAAGTTCAGACTGAATGTGATTAGCTTATTTAATGAAAGAGTCCTATTTTCCAGCACATTTCATTTAATGGCTCAGTACTGGCTAGAATATTAATGACTTCCGTGTCTGGTTTATGTAGTTCAGGAAAATAGATGGTTTAGGATCAGTATGGCAAATAAAGGTTTTTTAAAAAATAAGCTTCTAATCATTCTTACAACTCTACATTATGTCTTCTATGTATATTTAACCTTGGTTTTTACTAGATACAAGTGTGTAACATTGTAAAAAAACCAGAGGATAAAAGGTTGAGTAATAACTTTGTTTTTAATTTTTCCAGTCATAGCACACATCGGACATTTGGAAAACAACAATGGCAACAGCTCTATGACACACTTAATGCCTGGAAACAAAACTTGAACAAAGTGAAAAACAGCCTTTTGAGTCTTTCAGATACCTGACTTTTTATGCTATATAATTTTGTTCTTTTTGGAAAATCTAAATCATAGTAAAACATTATAGCCTGAAATCTGACTACAGTCTGGATAGTTATTGTCTCAAATTTAAAAGAAATCACAATCTTCAGGCGTACAAAGTAATAAATTACAAAGGGTCACTATGTCTGTTTTGTATAACACATAAGTTGTATTCTGTAAGGGAGGGTTTTGGAGTGTGCAGCAAGAGCTTTGATGAAAGAGTATATGGAGGAAAGACACATTTAATTAAGGGAAACTGAATGCTAACATCAAACCTTGCAATCTTAGCTATCTTAAATGAAGCATTTACTGAGAGAAAACGTTAACAGTAACACAATTTCATCACAGGAAAAGTTGGAAAACTGACTACAGCTATAAAGTTTTAGATGTAACAGTCGTGTTCTAGTCTAAACCACATCAATATTTCAATTAAATCAGTTCACCACTGAAAGAATTTATCAACATTATTTTAATCAGTTTTTCCTACCATCTCTTCTGCTTTTCTTTTTTTAGGTTGGTTGTCATTTTCGGAGCTTAGAAACTTTTCAATTTCATTTATTTGATTTGTTACCAAGCTCTGCCAGTCATCTTCACCAGTAGAAGACACAGCCAAACCACTGGTTTTAATCTTGATTTCCTGAAAATGGCTTTGTGGCAGGGTTGATTTCAGAGGCTTTGTTTTCACCTAGGAAATATCAAACTTGTTTTACCACTGAAATTTTTACTCATTTTCTAAACAATCATCAAGTTTCAAGAAAATCCTTAAGCCTCTGCAATTATGAGTATGTGATAAAAGCTACCGTTTTTTTGGCTAATTTTCAAAAACTACCTTAGTAATTTTGGTACCAAGAAACTATAAAATGTGAATCTGTAGGCTTATGTAGTAGCTCTTCAAGATCCCTAATGTATTCCAGGAATACCACAAATGTTTCCTTAAAGGTCTTAAGCTTACATTGAAAGAAAACATTTAAAACAATGCAGATAAAAATCTGTTTTGTCGGGGCTTCCCTGGTGGCGCAGTGGTTGAGAGTCCGCCTGCCGATGCAGGGGACACGGGTTCGTGCCCCGGTCTGGGAGGATCCCACGTGCCGCGGAGCGGCTCGGCCCGTGAGCCACGGCCGCTGGGCCTGTGTGTCCGGAGCCTGTGCTCTGCAACGGGAGAGGCCGCAACAGTGAGAGGCCCGCGGACCGCCAAAAAAAAAAAAAAAAAATCTGTTTTGTCCTCTACTCCCCTTCCCTTCCCAAACATGTCTATGTTTTGTAACTTCTATCAAAGCCAGGGGAAAATTTTAAATGCTAAAGGAAGTAAACTGCCATATAAAAGCTGCCTTTTACTTCATGTTTCCTCTTACGCTTCAGAGCACCATTGTTGGAGAAACAGGAAAGAGCAATGAAGTATTTGGAAGCTGGCATGTTTCCAAGGCACCACATTGGGTCGTACTTCTAATACCGTGTTAAATAAGTTTTCCATTTTAAGGTTTCTTCTGATTATAAAATAATTACTGGAAATTTAGAAAATAGAGAAAAGTGTAAAGAAACTAAAAATCACTAGTAATCCACTATCCAGAGAGATCTGTCAACATTTTGGTATTTGCTATTAGTCTTTCTATTAGCATATTTGACCATTCTATAGAACTTTATATCTCGGTTTTTCCCTCTGTGAGTTGTTTCCTAGGTCATTAAAGTTTCTCATAAGCAAATATCAGTGGCTGCAAAATACTTCTTATGGATGTGTGGTCATTTAACTACGCTATTGTTAACATTTGTTTCCAATTTATCCCTATCAAAAATTAATTTCTTGAAAAACTTATGGACTTCTCAGATTCTCAGATAAAATCCTCTGTTGAAAGGGAATATATTTTAGAGGTATGGAATAGGATAAGAATTAGATTAAAATTTCCCAAGATTCCAGCCACCATCAAACATTTTGATGTAAATATTCAGGACTCCTCTATATATACACTTTCAAAAAATTTGTATCATATTTATATCATTTTCTATGTTGGGTTAAAAACATTTTTCACATTTCCCTCTAGAAAGAGCATGGCTCCAGCATATTCCATGTTCCATAATTTAATATACTGTTGGACATTTAAGTTGTTGGAAAACATTTACTGTTATAAATTAGGCTATAATGAATGTCATTTGTTCATAAGTCTTTGTGAAGATCTTTAAGTACTGCCTTACATTAAAATCTTTTCCAATCTGATAAAAATGGCATATTTGTAACATTGTGTTTTCAAAGTGAGATTATATAGTAATAATTTTTTAAATGAGTTTAAATGTTTACATTTAACCTCAGTTCCCTAAAGGGAACTTTTGGATTGCTCTATTTGGTTCCTGAGAATTCTAGTCAGCCTCCAGTCCCCTCAGAGTCTTAGCCTCTGATCCTTAGGGTAATGCTGGGTTCTTATTTGTCTGATTGCCTATGTTCCTATGAAATAACAGATGAAAAAAGTATCAGCACAGGACCACCAAGAGACCTTAAGTCGTTTAACTTTTGTGGGCCTCAGTTTTCTAATCAGCTTCTTTTAGTTACAAAATGCTGTTATTGTAAAGAGTAACATAATAGATAAAAATGCGCATAAATGTATATTTCTCATAATGTCTGGCATATAAGTGTTAAGTGTACTTCATGTAGTTCACAGGGCCAAAATGAATGTTAGTCATCCATGTGACACTGAGAACCTGCTTCCTAAGTGCAGTGGGCAGTGTGTCAGTTTCATGCACTACTGAGAATAATTACAGAGAAATAGACCAAATCTAAATGTAGCCTGCTACTGATTTTGGAGTAAAATGATTGATGATCTATATAACATAATGGTCCTGTTTTGCCAACAAAATGCTAGAAGCGTTTTGGTGCATTTGATATCAAGTACAAATCACCTAATTTTCCAAAATCCTGATTCTTTGACTTTTAATCTTGAAAAAGGAAGGAGACATTTATACATATCTGCTTTAGTTTGTTTCCCTTTACCTACTTGGTGGGAGGGGCAGGAAGGATTGGCTGTAGAGAGAAACAAGATGTAATTTTAAAGTTTACACTTAATAAAACTTGTCCTATTTAGCTTAATTTAGGTTTTGCAGCCTACAGAAGTAATTCTAGTTACAGGGATGCTCCCACATATCTTTGCTCCTTCCTTTCCTTCTCATAAAAATCACTTGCCTCCTAACCTCTTTCTGCCTGACTCAAAAGATCTACTCTGGCCTAGAACTTCCCCTACCCTGGTACTAGTCCTCTTTATTTAAGCCTGCGGGAGACGCAAGAGGGAAGAGATATGGGAACATGTATATATATAACTGATTCATTTTGTTGTAAAGCGGAAACTAACACACCATTGTAAAGCAATTATACTCCAATAAAGATGTTAAAAAAAATTTAAATGAACCTAATATCACTGGCTGTGTAAAATAAGTGGCTTTCTTTGCTTGCTCTGGCCCCTCTCCCATCCTCATTCCTGGGTATAATCAAGATTGCAGCAGACCACCACCCTAACCCCTGCTCTAAGAGTAAAAAACACTCTTCATGTTGCTCTGGATCTGTAGGGGGAAAGTGGATTAGCTCATAATAACTACCCAGAATTTTACAGGATTGATGTGCACAGTATGCATAAAAATATGTTGAAAAATGTAAAGAACTTATGTTCCCTTTCTGGCTATAAGTCTTCATAAAATTCACTTTTCATTTGGAACAGAAGTTGGCAAACTTTTTCTGTAAAGAGCCAAAGTGAATTTTTTTGGCTTTGTGAGCCAAGTGGTCTCACAACTGCTTGATTCTGTCATTGCAATACAAAAGCAGCCACAGAACTACAGGCAAAGCAAAGCAGTCGGCTGCGTTTGGCCCGCCAGCTGTCATTCAGCAGCCCGATTTTAGAAAAGTTTATGTAAGCAAGTAAACAGCATCATAGAGACTAGATTGGCCTGGTTTAATCCAGGGATCAAAGCATTTTCAGTAGACTAGGCAAGAGTTGATCTGCTTTTAAATTTGTCCCACATTAGATGTTAATTGGTAATCAAGGTTCAGCTGGGACAATGATACATAGCATAGTGCGTGATGCCTAGTGATAATCACTTGGCTAAACAGGCATTTAGTGTTTTACATACACCAGTATTTTGAGAAGAAATTTTTTTATTATGAAAATTGAGAAGGTCATGTAGCATGCAACTAAGAGCCAAGATACCTAATCAAAGTCCACTGCAGACTGTTCCTAATGACTGGAAAACTACTGACTGGAAAATTACTTCACATTTGTGTCACTGCCTCATCTATTTTTAAAGATGTAGGACTATTGTGGGAATATTTCTACGAAAGAGTTTTAAATTCTATAAATATAAATTCTTAACAACATTAATTAACAGAAAAGGCATTAGGAATCAGATACAAAGAACTTCCCTATTGGGTTTATTATAAAAATGGGCTTGAAAGGGAGATGTGAAATGTTCCATCATACCCTTAAACTATTTGAAACAGGACAGTTAGAAGTATTAAGTATTCAACCCAATTAGAATGGGTGTCTAGCTTTGATACTCAAGCTTCTTTTTGATTTTGCATTGATTCTATGACTTATCCAATTAGCCAAGGTCAGAACTTAGATTTCCCAGTGCCCTGGCCCACTGCACTTTAGTTACCGTAGTTTAAAGATTGTACACTTGAACATCAAGCTGAAACGATTTGTTTTTGAGCTCAATTATGCAAAGGTGGAAAAGGTAGATCCTGATTTTAGTTTCAACTTTCCCAAAGGGAGAGTTATGCTATCTTGAGGTTTCTCCAATTTAAAAATGGAAATTAAATGTACTGTTAGAACCTATTACTTTTTAAGGCTGTGTTAGTATTATAATTTTCACTTTAGATGTGCTAAAGGAAAAGTTGTTTAATGTGCACCTCTAAAATTTAAAATATACAGTGACTATGCAGTTGTTTCTTTCGTCATTTTTCCTAACCTTTTTAGGTTACCTATTAGCAGTTACACCTGTAATTGTTTTTTAGATTTTGAACAATACAGCCTTTTTTTTAATAGTCTTTTTTGCACTAAAGTTTTGCACACTAAGTTAAAAAACTTACAAATTTCCCAAAAAAAAAATCTGTCAGTTGTAGTTGCTTGCTTTTCATATGACAAATGGACTCTTGGAGCCATATAATCTCTACAAATACTTTGCTTAATATTTATATCCATACTTGATATCTTTATGAATATTTGATCCTTTCACATACTGTGTTTTAATTGAAATAATTTAAAATAGACAAATTCTTCCTTTGCAATAGTCAGTTTCCCAAAATAATATAAATTAACTTAAGCACTATTAAAAACAACTGAACTCTATTGATTAGATTATTTAAGGCATCTTTTATTAAAATTTTAAATGCTCAAATGAGTGAACTATTTTTTTTAATAGTTTAAATAAATAAATGCTCAAATGCCACTATTCCTAAACTTAGGTGACTAAAAAATATAAGTACATAATACACTACCTCACACTCTCCTTCCCAAAACAGGCTGGATTATATCTATTTGATTTATACACTGTGACTTTTTCCTGCTGTTTTCCATCAAACTTAATTGTGAAAAATGGTGCCATGTTGCCCTCTTGATATTATTTTGAAGATCAGTTAGGTCTTAAAGCATCCAGATGCACACAGTTCTACACATATCTGTAGAATTAGCTCACTAAGGTCTGCTCTGCAATATTTTTAATTGACTTACATGTTCTGTGGGAAAAGAAGAATCACAGAAAGTCTTTGCAATTGCATTCCTCTCTTCACTGGGCTCTCTCCTGGGATCTGGATGGATACGCGAGTTATTCAAAATGTCAGCAACTCTGTTAATGCTGGTACTATCTGGTTGACAAAAAGGAAATGACAACTGAATTTTATTCTCCAGGCACTCATTTTAGTGACTAAACTTGTTTTTCTCTGATCCTATGCTTTGTATTTAAAAAGTAACAATTTCTATTTTCTTCTCACTTTGAACACTGGTTTCCATAGAGTTTACTCTTACATTAGGCATTTCATTTCAGAAAACAATTTTTTTATTGCTACTTTCTAAAACCCGCTGATTTCACATTAAAATTAGTGACATGGTATAAATATCTTCTAAAGCAATATAACATACCTTAAAATGTTATCCTTATTCCCCTGGTTACTGCACTGCCTACACATATAAACATTTATATAGTGAACATCTTAACCAATTCAAAGGGAAAAGTCTGAACCAACTGAAAGTCAGATTTGTAAAATATATTTAAAAAGAAATTGGCCATGATAAAAAATCCAACAAAGGGCTGTCTAGTAGGGGGTCATTGGGCTTTAATAAGTAGATAACAATGATTTAGAGAAACATGTAAGGTTAAAAGATATTTAGGAGTATCTTTTATAAGTCAGTATTTTACAAGTTGAATTTCTATAGAATTTTAGTCATCTCTCCTTCCATCCTAATTTATATGATTGAGATTTAATTTAGAAGAAAGGACTTGTGAGAAAACGGTAAATGTTAGACCAGTCCATTGACTAACAGCATTAAACTAACCACAGCATTTGACAGACAAAAGGGAATCTGAAGTTTAATACATTTTATTATATCAGGAAAATTACAGTTTGTGAAGTGAGATTTTACAGTGTTTTGGTGTTTTCTATTTTCCCCTATATTACTTCTCCATTCACGCCAGTAAACAAGATATACTTATTTTGCTTTTAATTGCCACATTTTCTTTTTAAAATTATCTCAATTTCCTTTTTAAAAGAAGCCTGTTAAGTCAGAAGGCCATGCAAAGCTTTCCTTGTAATCCATATTTCTTCACTGGGTCTAAACACATATTGTTAAACAGGCAATGTTCCCGTAAAATCTAAGACTGTCTACAACAACCTCAACAACTTTAACTATGAGATTGCTATTAGCAAAATAAACATATTTTTATCATGATCATACTTCTTAAACAATAGTTATTTTTAAGTTACATTTATACAGCACCTATATATGTTATGTAGTATATCTCTATGTTAAAATATCTTCAATATTAAAATTTTCAAATACACAAAAATGAAGAGTATGAACATCAATGTACTCATCACCCACCTTCAGTACTTCAATATTAAGTCACGTATTTCATCCATTTACCTCCCTATTTTTTTTTAATTCTGGAGGATTAACAAAAATTGTTTTATAATCTTTTGTTTCTGATTATTTTAAGAATGATCTAAGTTTTAGGTAAACTGCAATCCATTTAAGATTCTTTTGTTATAACTTACCAAGTTTCCTATACTTTGGTGGTGGTTTTTTTTTTTAACATTATTGGAGTATAATTGCTTTACATTGTTGTGTTAGTTGCTGCTGTATAACAAAGTGTATCTGCTATACGTATACATATATCCCCATATCTCCTCCCTCTTGCGTCTCCCTCCCACCCTCCCTATCCCACCCCTCTAGGTGGACACAAAGCACCAAGCTGATCTCCCTGTGCTATGTGGCTGCTTCCTACTAGCTAGCTATCTTATATTTGGTAGTGTATATATGTCCATGCCACTCTCTCACTTCATCTCAGCTTACCCTTCCCCCTCCCCGTGTCCTCAAGTCCATTATCTATGTCTGCATCTTTATTCCTGTCCTGCCCCTAGGTTCTTCAGAACCTTTCTTTTTTTAGATTCCATATATATGTGTTAGCATACGGTATTTGTTTTTCTCTTTCTGACTTACTTCACTCTGTATCCATCCACCTCACTACAAATAACTCAATTTCGTTTCTTTTTATGGCTAATATTCCATTGTATATATATGCCACATCTTTATCCATTCATCTGTTCATGGACACTTAGGTTGCTTCCATGTCCTGGCTATTGTAAATAGTGCTGCAATGACCATTGTAGTACATGACTCTTTTTGAATTATGGTTTTCTCAGGGTATATGCCCAGTAGTGGTACTGCTGGGTCATATGGTAGTTCTATTTTTAGTTTTTTAAGGAACCCCATGCTGTTACCTTTCTTTTTTTAGATTCCATATATATGTGTTAGCATACGGTATTTGTTTTTCTCTTTCTGACTTACTTCACTCTGTATCCATCCACCTCACTACAAATAACTCAATTTCGTTTCTTTTTATGGCTAATATTCCATTGTATATATATGCCACATCTTTATCCATTCATCTGTTCATGGACACTTAGGTTGCTTCCATGTCCTGGCTATTGTAAATAGTGCTGCAATGACCATTGTAGTACATGACTCTTTTTGAATTATGGTTTTCTCAGGGTATATGCCCAGTAGTGGTACTGCTGGGTCATATGGTAGTTCTATTTTTAGTTTTTTAAGGAACCTCCATGCTGTTCTCCATAGTGGCTGTATCAATTTACACTCCCACCAACAGTGCAAGAGAGCTCCATTTTCCTGGAGGATTTTTAAAGCAAAACTTGCACATTGTTATTTCATGTGGTGGTTTGAAAGAGTAAAACAGTCTCCACTATCTGAACTATTTAATATTTGAATGTATTAATACAGGCATATAATTATTAAGGGATTCAATTTAAAGTGTTTCAAACAATGATAAATATCAATGATATGAAAGGTATTAATGTTACACCTCACTATTAATTGCAAAATAAAAGAACAAAGCTAGATTTGTGGTGCTGGTGAAGGGACAGATAAAAATAGAAAAATTAAGGAAAGAGGGAAAAAAACTGGGAGAAGAAAGTGACAACATAGGAGAGAAACTAAAACATAGTTCTGAGAGAAGGAAGTTTGGGTTTTTTGGGTATGTTTTTTGGTTTTTTTTTTTTTAGTATAGAAAGAAAAGGAGTAAACATAACACTGGCAGAAGCCGTATCAACAACTTCACTGCATTTGCTCTAGAAAGTAAAAAAAGAGACTTGGATTAGGTAGATGTTCCTAATTTAAAGTTAATGACCCAGACTTGTGGCTGTTTTTGCTATTTTCAGTTCTTTGATAATGAAAGGATTTTTTTTTTTAATTTCCAAAATGCAATTGACCTCTGTACATGTTGATAATACTGGCTCAGATTTAGGTGAAAATAAGTCCACTTCCATTTAAATAAAACTTTTCCTACTTTTACATATATATCAATACATATAAGGAGTCTTTCAGGTTTAGGCAAAAAAATATATATATATAGTAATATAAATAAATTTTCATTTTAAACAATCTGGAAAATTTTTACCAAGAATAATAAGTAGAAATACAAATTTTAAAAGAATTAAAACATCACCCTTATTTTCTTACCTGGTCCACTATCCTTCCCATCATCATCCACACCAACATTTTTACAAGGTGTCAACGAAAGCATCTTTCTGTTTTCTAATATACCTATTGGTCTCTTCTTCAGCAACAAAGGAATGCTAGATGTTGAAGTGCTCACTGTTTGACTTTCAATTTGATTTACTTTTGGCCAGGAACTGGGGTCTAAAAAATTCACATATACTAGAGTTTTCTCAGTTTTTTTATCTGAAGTTGAAAGATCAAAGGCTGACCTTCCACTTCTGTTTACTAAATCTCCAGATGGCTTTATGTGAAATGGACATGATTCTTCCAGCTGTCCTTCACTGTAAATTTTTCCTGAAACAATGTCATTTAATGACTCTGTTTTCTCTGTACTGTTTAACAATGTATGCTGTCTTTCATTAGGGAAGAGGTCATTTTTTTTTACTTCAGTTCTCTGATTCTCATCAATCTGACTCTCTTTACTGGAAAACTGTATTTCTGTGGAAGTTTTCAAATGAATAGCAGTTTTCATATCTTTGGCTTGTGAAACATCTATATTCTCATTGTTAATCTGAAGATGGGAAACAGTCACATTGTTTTCTAGATACCCCAAACAGTTCTTAACTTGACTGTTATGCATATCATTCACATTTTTCCTATATATAGTTCTTTTCACAGGGCTTGAGCTGGGTGTCACCAACACAGGCATAATATTAACATTTTTATCTGAATTCTTTAAAAGTACATTCAAATTGTCACTGAAAACAGCAGAAGAAATGGGGCGGCTGATTGCTATATCACAGGGAATAGCTAGTTCAGGTTGCTCTGAAGTATCATCACCAACTTGCTGAAAATCTGAAATTTCTTTAAATGGCGATATGCTACAATCACTTTTTTTATTTAACAGTTGTATTTGTCTTATTTTACATTGTTTATCATCTAACATAACATTACTTGAATCCAGTAAATTATATTTCTGACACTGGACAAGATTCCTTTTTACATCTAGAGATGAATCCAAATCTGCTTTGGTTTGGCAACTATTTGTAATTTCCTTCTCCGTGTCATTTTCTTGAGTCCCTGGAAGCAATCTGAATTGTTGTTTGAATGGTTCATCTTCAGAAACATCTTTTTTATGATTTATATTGCAAGCCATCTCATCTAAAATACTGTTAAATGATGTTCTGTTATTTTCAACCCCCAGGTGTACATCTGCATGGTGATGATCTAATCCTTCAGTTCTTTCTGGATGTATCTTTTCTCTTTCTATTGATATATCTGCCACTAAAAAAGAAATATTTGGTGATTTAAATTCTGTACACCCATTATCTTTTTCCAAGTCCACCTTGTCTTGTATTTCTGTAGCAACCACTTTTGTAAAGTCAGTAACATCCAAGGTTTGTCCTTGACTAATTAATTCTTTTTCTATGCTGAGGGTTTTGCTTAGGGAGATTTCACTTTGATTTTCATTCTGAGGTACAATAGTATTAATTTTCTTCTTGGGGCTTTTTTCAAAAGGTTGTAAGTCTGTTATAATGAGAACACAGTAAATTTTGGGGTTATACACAAAAGCCTGCTTTTATAAAATGCATGTTAACTATTTTTATAAAAACAGATTTAGCTTTAAATATTTAACTGGCAAGCTATTACACAAACATAATGACACCAATTTTATATAAATATTGAGTTCCCTTTAATAAGCATGCTAAAATGTTCGACTCTATTCACACTAAATTTTTATTTCATAACAGCGAAAGTATTTTTGGTTTAAAAAAGTTAAGTTGAGGACATTACAAAAAGTAAGTTGAGGGCATTACAAAATGGTTATTTCTCTAGTCTGTTGCTTCCTTTTGGGCACACGGTACAATTCCATATAAACACACAGCTGATTAGATAAAAATTAATTTACTCTAACAGTCATATTGTAATTTCTCTTACTACGTAGATGCAGAAATTGCTAGCTGGTTTCTTCAAGACTAATAATCATCAGTTTCTTACTCACTACCTTGTAAATATTTTTAAAATTTGGAATACTTTTGGGCAAAATATGTAGAATATCTACTTAAGATATTAATTTTATTCATCTGGATTTTAACCACAGATTTCAAATTTTCAGTATAGTTACAATAATCTGGACTACAAATTTAGGGCATGAAGGGTCTTTTTAATCCAATCATTCTCTCTACAACATCTCCACCAAGTGGTTGTTCAGCCTAGGTTTGAACAAACTTCAAACTACCTTCTTTAAACCACTCTTTTTCAATATGGACGAATCAGTCAATTTTTCAATGGTTACAGAAAGGTCATTTGAACTAAGAAAAGTGCTCTGGAGTCTGGTCATCAAAAGGTTATTGGTAGCTCATTCTTGGCAAATCAGTGAAGGCAGAAACCAGAATGCAAAAAGCCAATGAATAAGTGATGAGAAGGGAAAGCAAAAATGTATTTTTCCCCCTAATATTGACTCTATTGAAGAATAGCTCAAAAGACATACAAGAACTTTTGTTAAGGCACACACAAATGGAAAAGTATTTCTCCAGTTATACTACTAGGTCCTCAAAGCAAAGACTGTGATTGATATTCCCCTAAAATGATCAATATAAAAATTAGAAAATATCAATGTAACCTTAGGTTACCTTCATTACCTATAGTGATTTCTTCTATAAATGGGGCTTCTTTCTTTTCCTCCTTTTCTCTGTATTCAGTGTCTAAACAACAACTCTCAGTATTTTCTTCCCTAACTTCTTGCCTGGAATTATATTTCTGTATGATGGTGTTTTCTGATTTTTCCACTGACATTTCAGTATTTACTTCTGGAAGGTTCTAGTGTAAAATAGAAAAGATTCCTTTAATGTAAAAACAGATTGTTAAAAAGTATAAAACATTTGAACAAACTTTGGTAATGAAAGTGGAATCTATATTTCAGTTCAACCATCCAGCAATTTCTATTTGAAAGCCAAATGATTTTTTGACTAAATTTAATATACTGTTCTTTGTAACAAGATCACTGTAAGTTCATTTTATATAGTCTATCATATTTAAATAAAATGGAGAGCCTTAGATGTTTTCAAACATGCATTCCACATTATTATATAATACCACATATTAAGAACTACTCCTTTATTAAAAGCAAAGTAGTCATGGCAGGCAAATTGTTTTGAGTGTTTGGTATTTTTATGTATCTTTAAAATAGTGAATCAATTCAACATCTTTTTATTCCCCCTAAATATTGAGCACATATTACATGGAAGCACTGCACTAGGCTTTGGGATACAATGATGAACAAAATATAGTCCCCATCCTCAAAAAACTTATGGTCCACTGGGGAAGATAGTAAAAGAAATGACAGGCAATTTTAATATAGATGGGGATAAGCAGGCACTCCGGAGAGAACAAATGGCATTCACAGATGTTAAAAGCAAACAAAATTATAGTCTTTTCATGTAGTTTTACTTCGTGGAACTACTTGGGATTTACTTCAGCTTGAGCTTAGATGCTGGCAGAAGAATGGAGAGAAATGAGGCTTGAACTAGGCCTAGGTTGTTAAGGGCCCAATATAGCATCCTAAGGAGTTCTAACTCTACCAGGAAGTCAATGAGAAGTCACTGAAGGATTTAGGCAAGGTGATTAATATGAGCTGATTGGAAAGACCATTCTGGCTGCAGTATAAAGAATGGATTAGAGTAATGTTTTCCAAACTTCACTGTTTAAAACCCGCCATAAGAAATAAATATGTTTTACAACACAATGAGCATACCAAGTAACACCAACTCAATGAGATACATTCTAATGTTTTCTATGTTACATTATTTTATTTCATTTTTAAAGGAATGACGTCACGAAACCACCAGACTGATTTCCATGTACCACTAATAGGCTGCACTTAGAAGTCTGAAAAACACTGAATTAAGGGGAAACAACATGAGGCAGAGAGATGCGTCATAAGAATGCCACAGTAGTCCAGGTGATATCAGCAAAGATGAAAAGCCTGAATAGATTCATGAATTATTTATTAAGCTAATATCAACTGTTGAATGATTGGTTATGAAAACTGAGAGGAGAGTCAAGACTGATTTGCAGAGTTTGGATTAGGTACCTAGATGACTGGTGGGTGTTATTTACTGAGCTAGAAAACAGGAGTAGGAGGTTTAGAGAAATATGAGTTCATTTTAAATCTCTTGATGGGACCTCCCTGGAGGCGCAGTGGTTAAGAATCTGCCTGCCAGGGCTTCCCTGGTGGCACAGTGGTTGAGAGTCTGCCTGCCGATGCAGGGGACACGGGTTCGTGCCCTGGTCCGGGAGGATCCCACATGCCGCGGAGTGGCTGGGCCCGTGAGCCATGGCCACTGAGCCTGCGCGTCCGGAGCCTGTGCTCTGCAACGGGAGAGGCCACAACAGTGAGAGGCCCGCGTACCGCAAAAAAAAAAAAAACAAAACAAAACAAAAAGAATCTGCCTGCCAATGCAGGGGACACAGGTTTGATCCCTGGTCCGGGAATACCCCACATGCCACGGAGCAACTGAGCCTGTGCACCACAACTACTGAGCCTGCACTCTAGAGCCCATGAGCCACAAACTACTGAGCCTACACACCACAACTACTGAAGCCCACGACCCTAGGACCCATGCTCTGCAACAAGAGAAGCCACTGCAATGAGAAGCTCACGCACTGCAAGGTGGAGTAGCCCCTGCTCGCCGCAACTAGAGAAAAGCCCACTTACGGCATCGAAGACCCAATGCAGCCAAAAAATTTTAAAAATAATTTAAAAAATTTTAAAAAAATCTCTCGAGTTTGAAGAGTTAGTAAGACAAAAAGGTGGGAGATGTCTAATGAACATTTAGATGTATAGAACTGGAACTTTTAAGAGAAAACTGAGCTGGAAATGTAGATTTGAAAATCTCTGGCAGATAGAGGGCAGCTGAAGACATACAAGTTGATAAGACTGATTAAGAGTACATTTTAAGAAGAAAGAGAAAAAAGAATAAAATGCTAATGAAAATCCCCAAGGGAGAGGCAGGGGAAGGGAAACTTGCAAAGGAGGAGTTTGCAAAGGAGATGGAGAAAAATAGTATGGTGGTTACCAGGAGCTTTGGAGTTGGATAAATATAGGTTCAAATCCTGTTTCAGTACCTATTAACTGTGAAACCCTAGAAGGATACTTACAGAGTTGACCCTTGAACAACATGGCTTTGAACCACACAGGTCCAATTATACACAGGTTTTCTTCAGTAGTAAATACTACAGCACTACACATCTGCAGTTGGTTGAACCTGTGGATGCTAAACCATCAATATGGAGGAACCGCGTATATGAAGGGTCAACTATAAGTTATACACAGATGTTTGACTGCTCTGAGGGTTGGTGCCCCTAACCCTGGAGTTGTGCTGGGGTCAACCATTTTAAAAGTTATCCATTGCTGTATAACAAATACCTCAAATTTGGTGGTTTATAACAGCAAACATTTATTATCCCGTAGTTTTGATGGGTCAGGAACTTAGGAATGGCTTGGCTTGATGGTTCTGACCCGGGTCTCTCATGAGGGTCTAGTCAAGCTGTCTGTCGTCTGAAACTTTAACTAGAGCTGGAGGTTCTGTTTCTAAGAAGGCTCACTCCCGTGGCTAGCAGCTGTGAGGGCTGTTGGGTGGAGGAGTGCCTCAGTTCTCTTTCATGTGGCCTTTCATCCTCCAGAGCCCCTCTTCACTATGTGGCCTCTTTGGCAGGATAGCTGGGACTTCTTTACATGGCTCAGAAAGAGAGAGAGGTGGAGAGACAGACACAGACTGAGAGACAGAGAGCGTGTTCACCCACGCTCTCACAGAAACCACAGTCTTCTTGTAACCTAATCTCAGAAGAACTGTAACATTGAATCACTTCTGCTATAGTCTATTAACTAGAAGCCAGTTACTAAATCCAACTCACATTCAGTGGAGGGTATTACAAAAGAACATGAACACCAGGAGGTGGGAATCACTTGGTGCCACTCCTCAGTATATACCTTCCAAAAATTAAAAGCAGAGATTCAAACAGATAGTTGTATGCTAATGTTCACAACAGCACAACAGCCAAAAGGTGAAAGCCCAAGCGTCCATCAACAGAAGAATGGGGCTTCCCTGGTGGTGCAGTGGTTAAGAATCTGCCTGCCAGTGCAGGGGACACGGGTTTGAGCCCTGGTCCAGGAAGATCCCACATGCCACGGAGCAACTAAGCCTGTGTGCCACAACTACTGAGCCTGTGCTCTAGAGCCCGCGAGCCACAACTACTGAGCCCGTGCACCACAACTACTGAAGCCTGCGCACCTACAGCCTGTGCTCTGCAACAAGAGAAGATACCACAATGAGAAGCCCGTGCACCGCAACAAAGAGTAGCCCCTGCTCACCGCAACTAGAGAAAGCCCGCACGTAGCAATGAAGACCCAACACAGCCAAAAATAAATAAATTAAATAAATAAAATTAAAAAAGAAAGCCAAAACAGAAGAATGGACACACAAAATGTAGTGTATCCATACAATGGAATATTATTCTGCCATAAAAAGGAATGAAGTGCTACAACATCGGTGAACTTTGAAAACATCATCTAAATGAAATAAGCCAGACAAAGAGGACAAATATTGTACATTCTATTTATAAAAAAAATATAGAATAGACAAATTCATAGAGTCAGAAAGTAGATTAGAGGTTACCTGGGGAGAGGGGAAAATCAGAAGTTATTGATTTATGGTTACACAATTTCTGTCTGGGATGATGCAAGTTTTGGAAATAGACAGTGGTGATGATTTCAAAACATTGTAGTTGTAATTAATGCCACTAAATCATAATTAGTACAACTGAATTGTAATTTTATGTTTAACCACTTTAAAATGGCAAATTTTATGTTATATATTTTTTACCACAATAAGAGAAATTTCTAAATAAAAGTGGTCTACAAAACATCAGAGAAAGTATGATTTATTTTAGTTTTTAAAAAATGCATATATATGAATACCTATGTGTGTCTGTTTCTATACAAACATACACATAGAAAAACTCTGGAAGTCATATACCATAATTTTAACAATCACTATTTCTGGATGGTGGGGTTATGGGTGATCTTCACTTTCTTATTTTAAAGTATCTATATCATCTACATTTCTTAAAATAAAAACATGATTTATAATCTGAATAAGTTATTTTCAGTATGAAAGTGAATGAATGCTGATCAACTTTTTATGAATGCAAGTCTATATTCATTTCTATAATCAATCAGATGTAGGAATTACTTGCTATTTATAGCTCTCAAGCTATGTTATAGCTATGAATATTAAAATGACAATCAATATCTCTGGCCTGGACTATTGCAGTATTCTCCAAGTTGGAATCCATGCCTTTAGCTTTGTCCCACTGTCTACCCACATCATCACCAAAATGATGTTTCAAAAAAGTAATCTAAGCACTTTACTCCTTGTTTAAAAGCCCCCAAATGGTAGTGTCAAGAACAAATTTCTATGAATGGACTATATAGCCCTCTACAATCGGTCTTCTGCCTATCTTTTCAACCTCTTATCCTGCTACTTACTGCCTTGCTAACCACCATCTAGTTTACATATTGAATAACAATATTTCACTTTTCTGATTCTTTGCTCACTTTATTCCATCTAATTTAAATCTCTATCTGGAAAATTCTTAGTTATTTTTAACAACTCAGCTCAAAAATGTCTTGCTGTGTGAGGTCTACCCCTCATACACAAGTAAGGTGAAAAAAGCAAACACTAATCATAAAAGATGGAACAGCTATATTAATATCAGACAAAATAATATTACTAGGATAGGGATGGACATTTCAAAATGATAAAAAGGTCAATTAATCAGGAAGTCATAATAATTATAACTGTGTATACACCTAATAACAGGGCTTAAACACACATGAAGCAAAAACTGACAGAACTGAAAAGAGAAATATAAATTCACAGTTATAATTAAAGATTTCCCACTAATTGATAGAACAAGTACACAAAAAAATCAGTAAGGATAGAGAAGACTTGAACAACATTATCAACCAAACTGACCTGACATTTATAAAACATTCTACCAATCAACAACAGAATACACATTCTTTTCAAGGGTACATGAAATATTTGCCAAGATAGACAATAAACTTGGCAAAAAACCAAGTCTTAATATATTTAAAATGATAAAAGTCTTACTTAAATTTGAAGTCATTAACAGAAATATATTTGGAAAATTCTCAAATATTTGGAAACTAAACAGCATGCTTATAGGTCAAACTCATATTCACGGGTCAAGGAAGAGCTCACAAGAGAAATTTTAAAATATGTTCAACTGAATAAGAATGAAAACACAACACATCAGAATTTGTAGAATGAAGCTAAAGCAGTGCTTAGTGGAAAATAGCTTTAAATGCTTATATTAGAAAAGAAGAAAGGTGAATAACCAATAAATTGACAAGTTAGATGAAAAGAACAAGTTCCTTGAAAGAGAAAAATTAGCAAAATGGACTGTGTTGGAGGTCTCCAAGTCTACCCCCAGGTTTGGTGATTTGCTGTGAAGACTCATACGACTCAATATACAGTTGTACTCCTGACTAAGATTTATAACAGCAAAGAATATAAAGCAAAATCAGCAAAGGGAAAAGGCACAAGAGGTGAAGTCTGGAGGAAACCATGTACAAACCTCTTTCAAGAGTCTTCTAGTGGAGTCACATAGGACATGCTTAATTCCCACAGCAATGAATTGTGATCACAAATGTAAACTGTTGTCTACCAGAAAGCTCATTAGAGACTCAGTGCCCAAAGTTTTTTGGTTGCTGGTCACTCTCTGCCTAGCATGTGCCAAAACTCCTGACTCCCAGAAAGAAAGCAGATGTTCAAAGTAAACTACTTAATAGTTTAGGCCCAGTGAGCCATTCCTGTCTGTTAGGAAGTGGTGGGAACCCTCCCCAAATCCAAAGTTCCAGGTATCAGTTAAGAGCCAAACTTACAAGCAGGTCTTTCAGAGGCCTTTCACAGGCCTGCTATGTCAACTATTTTCTGCACACTGACATAAAAAGAAATTGAGACTCTGAATAGCCCTATAAATAATTTAAAAACTAAATTTGTTATTAAAAATATTCCCACGAAGAAAAAGCCTAGATAGCTTCACCAATGAATTGTATATAATATTTAGTAACACCAGTTCTACACAATACCCTTTCAGGAGGAAAGAACACATTCCAACTCAATTTATATGGCCAGTATTACTCTGATACAAAAACACAGACCAAAAGAATGCAAAGAAAAAACAAAACCTACATATCAATATTCCTCATCAATTCAAAACCCCTAACATAGCATTAGCAAATCAAATCTAGCCATATATAAAAAGGATAGTACATATTCCAGGAATGCAAGGTAAATTTAGAAATTAATTAATGTAATTAATTGGTTAATACTGACACATTAACAGAATAAAGAAAAAAATATGATCTCAGTAGATACCGAAAAAGCATTTGATAAACTTTAATACCCACTCATGATAAAAATTCATTCATGATAAAAACTCAGCGAACTAGGAATAGAAGGAAACTTCCTCGACCTGACAAAGAGCATATAGAAAATAATCTATGGCTAACATAATATGAAATGATGAAAGATTAAATACTCTCCATCTAAGATGAGAAGTAAGGCAAGCATGTCAACTCTTACAACTTTTATTTAACACTGTACTAAAGAGTCCTAGCTAGGGCAATAAGTTGAGGAAAAAAATAAAATGTATACAGAGCAGAAAAAGAAGTAAAATTTATCTGCCTTAAATTCTCAGATGACATAATCATATACATAGAAAACTCCAAAGTCCAACCAAAAAAAACCTACTACAATAATAAGTTAATTAAAAAGGTAAAAGGAAAAAGAAAAGGTAAAATGATACAAGGCCAATGTACAAAAATCAATTTTAATTCTATATACTAGCAACAAACAATTAGAAAAATTAATTTTTAAAATACTATTTACAGTAAGAGCCCAAAACATGAAATATTCTGGGATAAATTTAACAAAATACTTGCAAGACCTATGCAATGAAAACTACAAAACATTTCTGAAGGATATTAAAGAATATCTAAATAAATGTAAAGATATATACCATGTTCATGAATTGTATGTTATGATGTCAATTCTTTGCAAATTAATCTATACATTCAACACAATCCAAGTCCAAACCCCAGAGACTTTTTCTTTTAGAAACTGACAAACTGATTCCAAAAGTTATATGGAAATGCAAAGGACTTAGAATAGCCAAAACAATTTTGGAAAAGAACAAAATTGAAGGACCTATACTACTACATTTTAAGACTTCTTATAAAGTTACACTAATAAAGAAAGTGTTATATTGGCTTAAAGATGGACATATAATCAAAGGAATATAATAGAGGGTGCAGAAATAGACCCACATATACTTATTTGGTTAACTGATTTTCAAAGAAACTACCAAGGCACAATGGGAGAAAAAATTGTCTATTCCACAAAGGTATGTGCTAGAACTGAAAATTCAGGTCCAAAAAAATGACCCTTGATCCTTATGTCATATTGTACATAAAAATTAACTAAAAATGTATTACAGACTATACACTTATAATAATTTTTTAAAGTTGAGAAATGGAAAATATGAAGCATGGAGAAAATCATCAGTGATGGTCCTAATGTCTTTAAGAGCTTATACCCCCAACATACTTGAATTTTACCTGAAACTTCTTGTCTTCCTCAAACTTTTTCTGATCGCATAATTCGTCATAATGTTCTTGTAACTTAGTATGAGTTTCTTTAAGTGATGATAACTCATTTTTAATCTCATTAATTTCTCCATTAAGTTCTTCAACCTAATATAACATTTAACCAAAACGAACACGTATATAAATTTATTTTGTATAAAAATACTTTATTAACACAAGTATTTGGAAATAGTAAAAAGTGAAAACATTTCAGAAGTAATTACTAATATTAAAAGCTACCATTTATTGAACTGTGCTGAGTACTTAATAAACATAATTTCATACTCATAAAAATCCTATGAGGTATTTTTAGTCTCCAATTTACGGGCGAGAAATGTGAGGCTCACAGACGTTAAGTAGCTTGCCCAAGATAAGGTAGATATAAAGTGGTAGTCAAGATTCAAATCCAAGGCTAAGTCTAGGGGTTGTGCTTTCAAGTACTACATTAAACTACCTCTTGTTACAAATGAAAAATTAATTTATTTTTAATCATAAAAATTCTATAAAAGTTACCACTTCATTGCTTTCTTAAAGTTTTATTTTCTTGTTGCAAATTAGATATACAGATTTTAACTCAATTAGATGAAGAATACTGAGCACTAAGCAGTACAACAGAAACTGACTCTTCAGCCTAATACTTACATCTACACACTGGGCTTTTACTGGCTATAAAATTTCATAATCTTTTTCTTGGGGGGGTTCTCCTTCATAGGAACCTCAAATGTAAGACAAAGTAAGTTCCATTGAAGAGAAAAATACCTTTTTGTCATAAAATATTACAAAAGTTTCTCTTAATTTTAAACGACTAAAAATTCCACAAGTGCTCTCTATCCCATCCTCTCCTGTCTCCCCCTCCCCCGCTTTTTTAAAAGAGTTTTTTGATGTGGGCCATTTTTAAAGTCTTTATTGAATTTGTTACAATATTGCTTCTGTTTTATGTTTTGGTTTTTCTTGGCCGCGAGGCATGTGGGATCTGCTCCCTGACCAGATATCGAACCCGCACCCCTGCATTGGAAGGTGAAGTCTTAACCACTAGACCGTCAGGGAAGTCACTCCTGTCTCCCTTAGAGCTTAGCTCTAGCAAAGATCTCTTCTCTCCTGCCTAGTCTCAATCTTTCCCACTATACCAGCATGTTTTCAGCCCACAAATATGCTCTTATCACGTTCCTAATTTTTTTCTCCTTGACTCAATTACTCTATCTCTCTTACTTCTTAAAATAAAGTCCACTCTTACTACTTTCAAATTCTAATCTCTCACCACTCCTTAACAACTGACTTCTGCCCTCATTGTTCTACTGATTATTTTTCTCAGCTATCACCTGCAAATTAGCCAAAGGACTTGTTCCAAGTTTCACACCATTTAACAGCACTGTAGCTCGACTATGTTGACTACTTATTCTTGAAATAGCCTCTTTTCTTCATTTGCATGGTACTACTCTCTCTTTATCCTTCTACCTTTCTCACCATTCTTATCAGGCTCCCTCTCCCCTCCTGCCCCAATATACACACACTAACCACTCGCAAAATGTTGGTGTTCCCCAAGGTTCTTTCTTCTTTAGCCTTCTCTTCAAGTCTACCACTCCTTCCACAGATGATCTTATCATACCCTCAAATTTCATCTTTATGCTAATAAGTCTTAAATTTATATCTCATCTCCCAACCTCTCTCCTAAGATTAGATTCACGTTTCCAAATGCATGATATACATTTCAAGTCAGATGTCCTGCCGTCACCATAAATTCGTCAGTTCCCAAATTAAACTCATTTTCATCCACCAAATGTGCTTCTCCTTTCACATTCCTTATGTCAATTAGTGACATTATTATTCTGCTCATTATATTAATCTCAGAATCATAGTTTACTCCTTTTCCTTCTAAAATCCATTATACATAAAATGTCACTAATCCTGCTAATTCTACTTCCAAAATGCTTCCTGTATCTATCCCTCTTCTCTGTTCTCACTACTGTTGCCCTAATTTACATCCTCATAGGCTCGTGGTTAGATTATTTGCAACATTCTTCTTACTAATCTCTTTCCATAACGCCATTCTCCATACTGTTGCAAGAGTTATTTTTCTAAAATGCAGAACTATGTCACTTTTCTGCTTTAAAAATCTCAATGGCTTCCCATTACTTATAAAATAAAATTCAACTTCCTTAGTAAAGAACTCTTCAGAAGGTGATCTCAACCTAATTTCCACTGTCACATTCTAGATCAGACTATTCATCATCCTTGAGAATGCAGTTTCATGCCTCCATCATTTTTCCCTTTCTTAAATGGAATACCCACAGAGTGGAATGGGAAGTATAGGAAGCAGGCACCTTCTGCCTGGTGAAACCCTATTCATCTTTCAAGTCCAAATTCTAGTGTCATCTTTTCTCCAAAACTTTCTCCAACCTAGTTAAACAATATGATTTATCTTGTGCTTTCACAGTAATTTGTTAATACTAATGTTAACACTACTAAAAACACTCAACACTACTGTGGTTAACTTAATAATTACCTGTCTTTTGAGAGTGTGAGCTCTTTAATAATCTTTGTATTTTAGGCATCTTTGAAAATTCAGCACCTAGAATAGTGCCTAACACATAACAGATGCTCAACATATGTTGTGAATTGAATTCCTTTTGTGATACCCCCTTTCCCTAAATAATTTCTAAACATCCCCATTTATTATCTTTTAATCTATACACAACCATTGGCTGTATAACTAGCCAAATAAAAACAGATACACATACCATGTTCTTTAAGACATTTCAGTGAGTTTTAAATATATTATCTAGTAATAGTCACTGTTTAATTTGTACAGTGTTTTCACTGTTTATTTTTTTTAAACAGCAGTATATATGATTTCATCTTATTTTTGTCAGAATCTTTTAATGATTTTTAAAAACCCATCTTGATCCAATCTCAGTAGCAACACTATAATTGTCCTTCACTCAAGAATGGTGAAAAACTGATATCAAGATAGAAATACAATTAAAGAGTAGATCTGACCTCCCATTCAAGAAAACTTCTATAGAACCAAAGCAGCTTTTTAGAAATTTACCTATGTTCTGTTTAGTATGAAATCATATGGAAGTGAAATGATTTTAGATGCTAAAAATCCTAAGACAAAACCAATTTTATCCAAATTATAGACTGCGGCCTCACCAGTGAAGCTGAATGCTTATTTTCTTAATTCAATTGACTTTTTTTTCTTGGGGGAGGGACATACTTGAAATATCATTAGGAAAAATAAATGCTTAATTTTCTCCTATCTCAACTAATTATTTTTGGTGTGGCTGGCATATTCAAGTTTATATTCTCTTTTTAATTCATAGTTTTCCTTATCCTGACAGTACTATTTCCATGATCTTTTAAGCCTTAGAAATGAGAAGGAAGTGTTGGGATGCAAGGTAGATTAGCTGAAGCTAAAATGAAAATTACTATGCTTGCCGCTTAATGACAAACTTTACCTATTTAGGGGCCACTAAGCATTTTATAGTATTCTGATACAATTAATTACAAAATATTTTTTGAGAATTAGGTAACGCTTATCAAATTGATCAGTGAAGATTTGATCTCTTCAAAATACAGATTAAGAGAACATGTTAGCTGCAAATGGATCAAAAAATCAAGAATTACTTACATAACAATTTATATCAAACAAAATCATCCTCAGAATAGTATGCATATATATTATTATAAAATATATTAGTATAGTATTAGAATTATATATTATAATTAGTATAATAGTTTAAAATATAATCTTACTTACCCAAAATATAGCTTTCATAAACTATTAAATAATTACCTTCTATTTTTTTTAGTTCTTTTAAAAGAATTGAAGGCAATAAAAATAGATAATAAAGTAGAGTAATCGATTTGGGGGTTCACCAGTCTTAAAAGTGAACCTTATATTTCACAACTTTAATTTACATCACTTTTCACTTTTATTATCTACTTCACTGAAATTAAAATTTAATGTAAAATAAAGAGTTGTGCTTTAAGGAAATAGTCACGTTTATAACATAACAATTCTCATGATAAAATGTTAATACTATAGAACCCAACTACTGCATATATGTTCTAAACATGGCTTTAATACAAGTCAACAAAACTGCTGAGGAAAGCTAAAGAGATCAGCTAACAATAAGACCTATATAATTCTTTATTATAATCATTTACTAAAACACTATCAATGGTTTTGTGAAAAGGAAAATTAATTTTTATTTGTCACATATGAAAAGTCATACAAAATATACATAAATACACACATATATGTATGGTTTTTCATGCACCAAAGCATTACAGAAAATTTTATTAAATTTAGCTTTAAAAACATTCACTTCTTGGAAATATAAGTACAAGAAGACAATGTGTCTGACTTTATTCCTATATTATTTTTGCTATATTTTCTTAGCATTTAATAGTTATTTTAAATGTCTACTACTTAAAATATTTTAATATTTTACTGTTTAATAAACCTACATGTTTTTTCCAAGTTTCTAGTGCTTTCTCATGCTTGTTTTGAAGACTAAGGAACTTTTCTTCATTTTCTTTCACCTTCTCCCTTTGCAGCTCATTATCTCTTTCAAGGGTCTGCAATAAAATTAATTATCCAAAAAATAATCAATACCACATTAATGAATTTTGATGTGTTTTATGTTGCTTGGACCTTTGCTTCTAACATGCTGAAAGTGCCATACAGATCAGTGATAATGTGCTACCTCAACAGTAATTTTCATAAATTAACAGAAAGGTGCTTATAGTTTAGTTAACAGGAAATGGGGGAGGTTATGAAAAAGAAATGGCTATAAAAGGGTATAAAAACATTGCCATTATTCAGTTTCACTGCATAAGTTTTAATGTACTGAAAAAGTAATATAAACTACAGCACTGAAAAATATGAAATGTAGCACAATCCAGCCTAACCCTACTAAAAATTTTTATCTACCACAGAACATATTTTCCATATCTGTTTATTTCAGAAATTAATTGGCTGGAAAACTCTTAAATACAATTTAAATTTTTAATTTCAAATTAACACTTTTTTAGTAGAACTTCAATATTTACTATATTAACTTATTACTTCATAAATTAACATATTATATAATCACCACCACACTCCCCTCTCCTGTTCCCAAAAAACCTTTAAAGAGTAAAAATACTACTGTTTTCTAAGACAAGGGTTTAAAAGCAATTAAATCAGTGTCACCAATATTATTAGGTTTCTTCAGCGTCTGCTGATAATCCAAGTAAACTTCTGTGAAAGGACAAATAGTAAGAACTCTCCCTACATGTCTAATATATCTGAAATTTTTTATGTTCATTTATCATTATTAAAGCTAAGTACATTCAGGGTAAACATCCAAGCCACACAAAGGACAGAAAGAAAAGGCAAAGTTTTCCTCTACTGCTTTTCCAGCTCTCCTCCCCAGAGGTAACCACTCTAGTAGTTTCTTGTGTAGCCGTCCAGAAATTATCTATAAGCATACAAGTACATAAAATATATCTTTTTAAATAGAGATGAACCCACATCATACACACCATGTTGTTCTGCAATCTGCTTTTCTAAAAATATGCATAATGTATCTTGCTTAATTTCCATATCATTATATACAGATCTATCTCATTTTAAAGGCTTCATAGGCCTAGGGGACTTTCAAGATGGCAGAGGAATAAGACGTGGCGATCACCTTCCTCCCTACAAATACATCAAAAATACACCTACAGAACAGCTCCTACAGAACACCTACTGAATGCTGGCAGAAGACCTCAGACCTCCCAAAAGGCAAGAAACTCCCCACATACCTGGGTAGGGCAAAAGAAAAAAGAAAACAGAGACTAAAGAATAGGGATGGGACCTGCACCTCTGGGAGGGAGCTGTGAAGGAGGAAAAGTTTCCACACACTACGAAGCCCCTTCACTGGCAGAGACGGGGTGGGGGGGGTGGCAGGGCAGAAGCTTCAGAGCCACGGAGGACAGTGCAGCAACAGGGGTGCAGAGGGCAAAGCAGACAGATTCCCGCACAGAGGATTGGAGCCCACCAGTACTCACCAGCCTGAGAGGCTTGCCTGGTC